GATCACTAACTACTCCGTTGATGTCCTTCTACCGACATTGCGGTAGAAACGAGCAGTTCAGTGCCGATCTGGCTAGTGACGGACCATTCACACGTAGAGCACGAAATTCTTTCTCACAGTCGGTTCTCACCGTGTGCACGAGCACACGAGTATGAGTTAGTTAGTCATTTCTCTGTGCACAGGCAATCAGAGGCAATCACGTGGCAATCGTACTCTATACACAGCAGTGGATTGTGCTTTCAGTTGAATTCCATCTGTCACATGTACTCGTATTGCATGATCCTCACACGCATACATATCCATCCGATTGTGCATTCGTTCATCACTTATTTTTGATCCTATTTATCCCATTCGCTTCAGCCACCCTGGACGCGGTCCAAAAAGATGAGAAACTGGAAATCAGTTGGAAGATACCAGAAGGAAGTGTTGACGACTATAAATATGTGGTGAACCAGATCGAACAAGGACAGGATGGTCAAACGACTGTGACGAAGGAAGTGGAGACAAATGGGCCGATTAGTCAAAAGGAGGGCAAAGTAACGCAAGCAGTTCACGAGTGTGGTCTGTATGAGGTTTTGCTGAAGCAGAAGGGAGATGTAAAGGCAAAGAAGACTGTGCAGATTGGCCTGACAAGTAAGTGTGCTTTTACCAAATCTATCAATCAGATTGTTCGCAGAGTGTAATCGTACATTCCCGGAATTTGAGACGCCCAATGGTATAGAACAATATTGGCGCCACTGTGGTAACCGACACACTGGGAATGCTAGCAGGCGCAAAGCAACGTTTCAACTGAATTCAATACAATGCGAGTAGAGTAGGCGAGGATGAGCGAGTTTCGATCATAAGCGAACTGTTATCTATCGTGTGATACAAGATAGAGTAAACCATTCTATGACCAACGGACTTCAGAAACCGAAAAGCCAACAGACTGTTTCACTCAGCAATTGAATCAGTGAACGACTGAGCCGGCAGCGCTTAAACCACTGTCTGAGTATCCACCACAGTGAATGACAAACAAATTCACTGACTGATTTACTGACGGACTGACCGACTGACTGACTGACTGAATATTTGTCTGACTTAATGATGTTTCTGTCACTCACTCAATGTGTATCTCACTGGCTGGAGAAGGAATATCCAACTGATTTACGGAACGTTTCTTTCAGTAACTCAGTCACTCGTTATCAGACGGAATTGATCTTTGGCTGTATGATTCCTCGATTTGCTGATCGGTGTTCTGTCTGTCTTGTTCCTTTGGTTTAATAGATGAATTGCTAAATGATTGAACACATCCTTCCTCGCCTACTTCGAAATCATCATCGCACTGGTTCCCACAGATTCTCGATCTCATTTTAACATTTCAAATTGTCATTCTCACGACTCCACTTCTGATGCACATTATCGTTTCTGTTGAATCTCATTCGGATCCGGGTGATATGCTCAGATGAAATGTGTTTCTTAGCTCCGACGGAATGTGAATGTCGAACAAGAACAAACGTGACAGATACACGTTTGGACAGAATCTCCGAATGGAATGTAACCGGTGATAGCTGTTTTGTATTAGCCAAATCCATTCCTCCAACTTGCCTATCACACTCGCGACAATGCCTCACACTCAAGCATTTGAATATATGCAATTCGACAACAAATCGCAACATGTATCCGATTGTATTTCGCTCAATTTCATTATCAGGTGCATAATACAGATTACAGAATTTTCATGATCACAATAAATTGCTAAGAATTTGCTGTTTGCCATACTTCAGACGGTATGTGCGCCTATCTCTCTCTATCCCGAAAACATACGTGGTCAGGCCGGTGCCTACTGGTTACCAGGTTCGCCTCGCTCAGTTTCAAACGTGGCTTAGTGAGAACGCTGTACAATAGAGCTCATAGATTGTACACATCTACACACTACACGCTAACCGACGAGACCGATTTGCGAAACAATGTAATTTAGTACAATAGCTACCGAAAGGCGTCTGTAGAACAACATCGCGTTGTACACGAGCCAGATGGACTAACAATATCCGTCCCGAAATGCAAGGTTTTCTCCAATCTGCCAGTTAACGGCGATGAAATAGCCAACCTGATTGCACGCCGCCTCAACTCGACAATCGAATAGTCACACCACGCCACCCACACAGCCCTCCAGCATACATGCAGAAAACTACCCGTCCCGTCCTGTCTCCGTGGCCGTACCCGTCCTCTTCCCCGTCCCCTTTGCATTCGCGGACCCGTTACCAGGCCATGCCAACTCACACCTCCCATACATATTCACGTGTGGGTGCTCGACCACCTACTCAGGCGGAACTGAACGGCAACTTCGACTGACAGTGACGGAGCATGTCCCACCGTGGGTGGATACTTTTGCCAACCAATGGAGAACGGATCAAACGTCACCGACTAGACAGCAAACAGCCTCATCCATCGCACGTCATTTGGTTGAGACAAAGCATCGGTTCGACCGAACTACTACGACTCCCTTCTACATAATACTATCCAACACCAATTCACGTTGACTACAGTTTGCTGAAGCAAGTGCAACTCAAAGACGGGGGCGTGGTTTGTGTAGGAAAAAAGGAGTATTCCTCACTTTGGCGACATTGCCTTGGTGAAAATTACGACACTTGGGCACCTCATACCGGCAATTCTTATCTATCCATTCTGATCATGAATACCATGTGATCGGTAGTATGCACCTGATGAGATACAGAAAAACACATAGAAAACCTACTCCATTCTCTATTCAAGTTAATTTAGGGAATGAGTTGTTTCGAATAACAATATACTCCCACCGATTCTCTAGTCTCCTTCAAAGCATACTTTTCAGAAATGCTTGAATGTGTCGCGAAGAGAACACAGCTATCACCTGCCACGTGATCCTTCATTGTTTCCCTTTTCCATGTGCAAATGTGCACAAGTTCTCATCAAATTCACCAATTGCGATTCGTCCGATCAAGTGATTTCACTACCTCCTCGATTACCGATTTGGTCATTCAAATACTCTTCAGATAACTCCCATGCACAATGTCATCATCAAAATTACCATACTAATGTTAGAATTATTCGTGGAAATACTTACATTAGTATGTATATCATTTGCGTATTGTTTTGTGCCCAATCATAGCATTTCCGACGAAAATAATTGATCGCAATTTCCCTGTTCCGCCCCATCTCG